TTTTAAATTTTATTGCTCGATTAGCTCAGATCCCCTTCTTACATTGCTCGATTAGCTCAGATCTAGCTCTGTTTTTTCACTGTCCATACCTTTTTTTTTTTGTGCTAAATATGTATATGTTCTCTCTCAGTGTTCATTTCAATGTTGCTTTATGTTGTTATATGGTTTTGGACAAGGGTGTTTCGCTGCCCTTTTGCTTCAATGTCTTGCTTTATCTTCTAAACTCTAATGATATTTTGGTGTTGCCAGGATTTAGTTTAATTAGCTTTGAAGAGCAGATTTCTTTATCCACTAGTGTTGTTGTTGTTCCTATGTTAGCATTTTAGCCAAACCTGCTAATGCATGAACATCTTTATTGTATTTAGAAGTGTGTAGTTAATTGATTAGACAGTGGCATTTTATAACTTATGGGATTGAACTCTATATCTAACAGAATGGATAATTCAATATTTAGTTGGAAAAATGAAAGTCGAACTAATAATTCGGTCGAACTAATAATCTTTCATATTTATCAAATGGATTTAATTGATTTTTACTTAATGCATTTAATTTTTAGTATTGAATTAGGTTATAAAATATTACCTCAGTTGACATTTGACTTTGGTACTGCTCTATATATATATATATATATATATCTATAGTGTTGATTCATTCAATATCTTATATATCCTGTTCATATCTTGATTCATTCAATTTATAGTGTTGAAAACACAATAAATAGGGGACATTAATTTTGTTAGTGTTTTTTTTTCTTTTAATTTGAATTGTTAAATTTACATTTAGTGTTTTGTGAAGGCTGGAGATTGAAAACTTTTGTTATCTTTCTTCTTGTTAGAGTTTAAAACATCAAAAGAAATGGAAGTAAGATCCAAATTATACCAAATCATGGTATGACACAGGTGCAAAAATTTGTCAGGCTGAAAAGTTAGGAAGGGTGCTTGTGAAAAGTAAGTGAAAGTTGCTTTCTTTCTCTTTCTTTCTATGTATGGTACATGCATGTGTTCGCTATTCTTTTCATTAATTTTCGTAATGGCTAGTCATTGACATGAAGATGTAATCAATATAGATTTTAGTTGTAGAAGAGTTTCATGTAAGCTGCTTGTTTCAGTACCAAGGTTTAAACTATGTAATCTGCTTGTTTCTTGTGTCCATTTTGTCTTTGTAGTTCATTATATCAATTTTGCTTGTCAATTTATTCAAAGTGATACACTGAAAGTGCAGTATTTGAGCTAATGAATAACTGAAATATGGTTTATGTGTTTTGAATTTTCAGTCCAGACCTCTACTAAATTGTGGGGGAGGAGGAACTTGTGGGACATGCATTGTAGACGTGAGTTATTGATTTTGAATTTATTATTACTAACCAAGCAGAGTACTAATCATAATTCTTAAAAAAAAATAGCACAAAAAAGTAAATGTGTTTCCAAGTAAGATGAATTTGAAACACATTGATTTTTCTGCGCACGTTTCTATAAAGTTGTGCATGTAGCATTATTACTTATAAAAATGATGTTATTATTACTGACATCATTTGGGTATAGCTTCATAATTGTTGGTGCAATCTCACGTGGAAGGTTAAGAAATGTGACAATGCATCACTTGTGTTGTGATGGTTTTTTATTTTTTATATTCTAAAGATTTTTTCTTTTTTTGTCTTTGTTAGGTCGTTGAAGGGAAGGAGCTACTAAACCCTCGAACAGACAAAGAGAAGGAAAAACTTAAAAGGGTATTTAACAGATCATTTGCAGTCATCTAAATATACCACTAAAAATATATAAAATTAAAAAAAACCTTTAATTCTACGAGTCTGTGATGTTTGTGTTAGTTTACTTGGTTCGGCAAAAAACGTGTCTAATGTTTGTGCTAATTGTACACAACTAATTGCAGAATCCAAAAAATCGGAGGCTTGCTTGTCAGACTACGGTTGGAAAACCAGATTCGAGAGGCTTGGTTTGTAGTCCATCGTCTTCCATTTTTAATGAATTATTTGATTTTAAAACTTTAGTCTAAAGTGTATCTTATTTATTTTCTAAGCAAAAAAGAATTTCAAAATTTCACTGGATATTATTATAATTATTTTTATTTTATTTTAAATATAATTGTTGTTTTTGTTCTGCAGGTTGTAATCCAACAACTGCCTGAATGGAAAGGGCACGAATGGAATTATAATAAAGAACCTCCTTCAAAATCAGAACCCTGAGATTCATTCATTCATTCATTTAATTAATGTACTTTCTTTTGTTTTACTAACTATATACTTAAATTTATGTAAATCTTCCTTTTAAAGAAAATGCACACTAACTAAATCGTTGTTTTCTTTTGCATCGGTTATTCTGTCATCGCAAATAGTATTTACAGTAGCTTAAAAGTGGACAAACAAAAATGTTAGACACAAAAATCACTTTTTTTGGGTAGTTCTCTTGTCGCCAAAGTTCTTCAATATTCCATTATTTCTCATCAATTTTAAGGTATTTTGATAATGTATATATAGGGACGGAATTCGAATTTCATCATCAGAAAGGCAAAAAAAAAAAATTTATTATACCATATACACAAGCATATATATCTATCTAATATGATATATAAATTATTTTTTATTTTATTTTATTATTATTTTTTTGAGACGGCAGCCTACTCACCGTCTCAAATAGGGGTTACTGTCGTCGCAAAAGATAGGGCATTTGGTTGAAAATAATGACTTTTAGCGACGGTGTAATTTGCCGTTGCCAATAGTACTTTAGTGACGGTAACAAGTGCTGTCTCAAATAACCCTTTAGCGACGGTACTTGTGTCGTCGCAAATACCCCTTTTAGCGATGGCAAAACAGTGCCGTCTCAAAAAAAGTCAGATTTTCATGCGTTAATGGCGACGGCATTTTTCCGTCGCAAAAAGGCTGCTTTGTCGTCGCAAACCAAAGGCGACGACGTCATACTGTCGCTAAAGCCCTTTTGCAACCCCTTCTGTTGCGACCCTCCACGTGCCGTCGCAAAAGGCCACTTACCGTCGCAAAAAATCTTTTGAGACGGCGTTTTGGATATTTGCGACGGCATTTTACCGTCGCAAAAAATCAATTTTTTTGTAGTGATCCTTCATTTTTTTGTGCAGCCTCATTCACTAGGAATACTATGTGCACGTGACACAATGGTATTTGGAAACATTGAGTAATTTTTCGGCACCAATCACCTTCCTTGTTTCTACTTTTCAAAAAATCTTATTTTCTTATTTTTTGTGTTTTTTTTTTATTGAAGTTTTTTAATATTTTAAGCAATTTTTTTTTTATTTTTTAGACACACCTAACATAAATACACCTAAAAATTAAAAAAATTGTAAAAAAAATCTTTTAAAAATTCACTAAATACCTTTCTTTAAATGTTGAAATCTTTCAATCTATAGCATACAAGGCCTTCATTGAAGAAATTTAATATGGTGGTGAGAGATCATGGGTAGGGCAAGCCCACGGGGGAGACAAGGGAGGAAAGAGATGGATTGGGAGTCGTAGGAAGGCGAGGGTGAGGGACGAGCATGGTGAGGCCATGGGTAGGGCAGGTGGGCCAAAGGGGAAACAGAAGGAAAAGGCATGAGAGTGGGTAGGGCGTCGGTGCAATGTTTGGGAGACAATGTTTGCTTCATCCTTCATTTTTTTGTGCAGCCTCGTTCATTAGGAATACTATGTGCACGTGACATGATGGTATTTGGAAACATTGAGTGATTTTTTGGCACCAATAATATTCCAATTTACGTACAAACAATTAATGTAAAAGTTCTCACAACCAACTTAAAATCAAAAGCATAAATTCTTGGGCAAATTACCCCAAAAAAAAAAAATTTCAAAATTTTGTGAGCTTTTTAAATTAAATCCTAGGATTTCAATTGCATCAATTTAAATCTTAAATTTCTAATTTCATATCAATTTTAATTATTTGTCCATCTCTGTTAACTTGTTTGACAGGAAAAAAATAGTAATAATAATGCACACATGGCACATTTTCATTCGTTCATTTCACTAAATATTAATATTGATCTTATATTTGAACATGATCACACCATATCCACCATATATTTATCATCCATTACATCATAGCCATTCATCATATACTTACCATGAACTCCAGCACATTGTATCAAAACCCTCTCAATTGTGTGTTGATTTGGCCATTGATTAGACCAAGAACTTTCAAAGATCTACTAGATAAACAATATGAGATCGAAGATTGTTGTTGGGCTGGCCATCCAACAAATGGTTATGATCCTGTGTAGTTAGGTTCATAATTGTGTTGATGATGGACGGTTATTATGAAGTCATCATGTAATGGATAGCTGATAAAACATGGTTGTGATATATGGTGTGGTCAAATTGAAAGTTAATATTAATATGAAGATAATAGAACCAATGAAATAGTGCCATATGTATTGTAGAATAAATTATCTGTTACATTTATTAACGGAAATGAAATAGACGGAGAGTTTAAATTGTGTTAAAGTTCAAATTTTAAAATTGAGTAATGATTGAGATCATCACTCCAACAAACCCCCCATAAATCTAGACCACTAATTATGTGGATCCTACACATACATGGAGAGCCAGGGGGTCATTCCCAAAGGGTGTCCCAAACATTTCCGTTTAAAATTTAAATTGATACAATTGAAACTTTGGAATTTAATTTGAAAAACACACAAAATCTTGAGTTTTTTTTTTTTAATTTACTGTAAATTCTTTCTACAATCAAAACCACTAATATATATACATATATATGTGATCCAAATGCAGCACCCAAACCAACCATACAAAAGAAAAGAAAATTAAAAAACAATGCATCCTCTCTGAAACCACAAACATTAGTAAATGTTATGTTACCCCGTCCAGAGCAACAGTCAAGCTCCAACAGAAAGAAAACACACAAAAACACAAGTCAATAAATAAAAACTAGTTTTTCTAAAAACCAACTAATTACTAAAACACAACCAAAAAAAGAAAAAAAAAATCAACTCACAAAATCAAAAACCAAAATCTCCCCAAAACAATGAACGAGCTCTGAAATATAGATGTTGTAGTAATGTGGCATTCTACGAAATTCTTGGAATTGGCAACCTAATCAAGAACCACTAGTCTTACTACTTCATTCCCTGATGAACTCGAAAGTTCGAAACAGTCCCATACGTCTGTATCACAGCCTATTAAAATCCAGTCATTATCATCATCATGATAATGGACCTCGAAGCTGCCAAGCTCTCCCAGTCTATTTGTCACTTGTTTCTTCAATTCGACAATTCCAGTTGGTAGAGAGAGACGAAATTTTATATTTTTATCTCTATATTGTGCCTTAAACGTCACAGTCCTTACATCTTGCTTTTCTGTGAGATGTGGCATTATGTGGGGAATAGTAGTCATGGTTTGCATTGGAGCTTGATCAGAACACAAAGACATTGTGCAACTAGATTCAGAGACATGTCCCTCCATAAAAAACCCCAGTGCTGAAGTAGAGAAATTACTAGAATCTCTTGAACTCCCCACATTCTCAATTAGCATCTCTCTCAACAATGTATGCGGCTGTGTAAACACACAAGCATTAGGATTTGGATAAGCAGTCAATGGAGTCAAATCTTTTGGTTGAAATGCCAATTCAGAGGAACCCCCTGCTTCACCACTTTCTCTGTAGGTAGATGAAATAGAAAAGTCCATAGCAGGATAATTACCGGGGACAGAATCTGGAAAATTTGGGGTTGTTAAGCTCTTTCCATTTGAACGATTCTCTGCATTTGACAAGTTTGGACCTTCTATAAATTCTGGCACAATTCCATTTTGGTCCTGAATGTGTCCAACTATTCCATTCCCTATCTCTGTTTGCCCACTAGTTGGTGTCTTGTGGGTGGGTGACGCATTTTTTTCTCCTTGTGGTTCAAGGAGTATACAGTATCTTTCGAAAACTGAAAGAGAAAAGAAAAGAAATGGTTAGATAATAGAGAAATAAATGAGAAGAGAAAAACAATGAGATTGTTTCTTCTTATTTGGATAGTTTAGGAGAGGAAAGTATGGAAAATGGAGTGTTTTCCTCTATTGTACAAAAAAAATAAGAGTGAGAAAAAAGCGAAAGACAGTTATAGTATAATGTGGGATCCTCTTTGATGGAGTCAATTCTTTTGGTTGAAATGTCAATTCAGAGAAAGCCCTGCTACTACACTTTCTCTGTGAGTAGATGAAATAGACAAGTTCATGGCAGAATAATTACCAGGGATAGAATCTTGAAAAGTAGTTGTTATGCTCTCTTCGTTTGAACGATTCTCTGTATTCGACAAGTTTGGGCCTTCTATAAAATCTACCACAATCCCAACAGTTGGTGTCTTGCAGGTGGGTGACACATTCTTTTCTTCCTCTGGTTCAACAAGTATATAGTCCATTTCGGAAACTGAAAGAACGAATTGGTTAGATAAGAGACAAATAAAGGAGACAATCCGAAAAACAATCATACTCCTTGATTTTAATTTTTAAAATTCAATTTTGCAAAAAATGTTTTTTTTTTCGTATTTTTTTTATTTTTATTAATTTTTTTTTAATATCTTAGGCAATTTTTTTATTTTTATTTTTAAACGCAACTGAACATATTATTTGGCTATGAGTATAAAATGCAATATTTTTTAGTTAAAAAAGAAAATGATTTTAAAATAAAATATAATTAACCTTTAATCAAATAAATCACATTTCATAATCATTTCTTTTCTTTTCTTTTCTCTTATTACTTATACAATCATTTCTTTTCTTTTCTTTTCTCTTATTACTTAAGTAATCATTTCTTTTCTTTTCTCTCCTAAGTTACCAAACATAGCGTAAAATCTACCACAATCCCAACAGTTGGCGTCTTGCAGGTGGGTGACACATTCTTTTCTCCCTCTGGTTCAACAAGTATATAGTCCATTTCGGAAACTGAAAGAGAGAATTGGTTAGATAAGAGAGAAATAAAGGAGACAATGAGAAAAACAATCATACTGCTTGATTTTAATTTTTAAAATTCAATTTTGCAAAAAATGTTTTTTTTTCGTTTTTATTTTTATTTTTAAAATATTTTTTTACAAATATTTTATTATTTAGATATATTTAAATAAGGTGAATCTAAAAAGTTAAAAAATTACTTATAATTTTAAAAATATTCACTAAAAAATATATATGTGAACATGGAGGACTGAATCCAGTGCAACTAGACGTGAACATGGAGGACTAAATGGAAATTGGGGAGTTCGCGGTCGAGTCGGCTCGGGTTCACCCCTTACCGCTAACCGAACCAAACATGTCGGGTGAAAATATGAGTCATCTGCTATTGAAATCATCCGAACCAAACAATTCGGTTTGACAGTCGAATCGGATGGATGATATATACAAAATATTTTTCTTTCACGTTCAAACTAAACTCAAAATAAAAAAATATATACAATCCAAATACATAATTACTAATCTAGACCTGATCTGAAAAAGGGATATTGAAAAAAAAAATGATAATAGCGAGGCTATACTCACGCATCATCGCACAATTATCATCGTCACTTGACACCACTGCCAAGCAAGAGTGTTCAGAAATCAAGAGTGAGTGAGAGAAAGAGAGTTATAACTACAATTGATCAATCATCGTCATCAATTTTTAGCCATCCAAACCTTGAACTTCACTAAAGGGCTTTGGTAGAGCTTAGATATCCATTGCCCCACTGTGTGTGAAAGAAAAAAAGAATTGAGAGAGAGAGAAGAGACGAAACGGTCAAATAAAGAGGGAGAGGCAGACGAGAGGTTTAGTGAGAGAGAGAGAGAGAGAGAGAAATTGGTCAGGTGCATTACTAATGATTAAAGTTAGAAAGATATTTATTCTGGGTAAATGGAGGGACAGAGGAGAGATGTTAGAGAGGGACAGAGGATGGAAAAAAATAAGAAAAGAAAAATATTTGAAATATATTAATTTATAATAAATATTAAATTTTGATTTGTTAAATATTTTATTATGTAAATTTCATTTTAATATAGCATCATTAAAAATTATTTAGAGGTGATAAATTAAGGAGATAGAGCATTAAAGTTAGGGTTGATTTGGAGTATCCTAAAAAAGTATTTTTTTATTTTTTTATTTTTTTTAAGTCAAATTACTACTCTATTTTTTTATAAAAGATTAAAAAATATACTTATTTAAATTATTTCAAGTAACTTTTTAGTCAGAAATTGTATTGATAATATAATAAATTTAAAGTTATTATAAGGATATATAGGCATATGTCATTGGGAATAAGGGATACAAGTCATATCTTGGGAAGATAATCTTTGAATCTTAGGAAGACAAGATTCTTGAGAAGGTGTAGGTCTCTGTTGGAATATATATGAAACCTGACAGATTCATATTTATTATATAAAACTAATTTGGATCGGTTGAGTTTAGCGATTTTTTCTTTATCAAGACCGACACCTGTAGAATTTCAACATCTGAACCGCAGCCGACCGAATTAATGGTCGAAACCGTCCGTATTGCATTCGGGTCAAGTGGTTCGAGCCGGATTTTTTGGGTGATTCGAATCTATGAACAGCCCTCCACAGTTTGGACAGATTTAATTACAAGTTTTAACTTAAGGAGAGACCAATTACCTTTTTTTTTTCTTCCGAGATGGCCACCGAGGGATCCCATGTTGCCTGCAGGTGCGCTTCACTGTGGATACACTAACTGCATGAGCAAGACTTCAGATAGAGCAAAGATCCTCTAGAGTGATTTTTCCCTAAAGTTTTCTAGAGTGCTACATTGTGTGGTTGAGATTTATTGACAAGTTACATCAATTTTTCTGATGTGACTTGCCAGTAAATCTCAACCACACAATATAACACTTTAGGAAACTTTAGGGAAATTTCACTCTAGAGGATCCTTGGTGCTTCAGATAAGATGACTGCTTTTATATTTGATTCAAAGCAACACTTTATTTAATTGTACGAGCTTACCACCAAGGGCCTTGGCAGCATCATCAAGTTTACAACCAAAATGTTGTTGGAGATCCTCAAAACTAAGTACACTCTTTGTTATGCATTTTCTCTTTAATGTCTCTCTTGAATTTGTCTCATCTGAATGAGGTACGGTAGAGCAGCTCTGACTTGCCCTGACAAGATGAGCAATGTTGTTTGTAACATCAAATTCCACCAATGATTGTTGTTTTGATGAATCAACTTGCACCATCTCTCCTCCATCTAGTAAGGCTATAGTTCGAGGTGAAGATCTAGCATGTAGGGGTGTTTTGATGCATCGAAGCCTCGAATCATGTTTTTCATGCATAGATGGACTGATAACTTCCATCAATCTTTCCTTTTTTTCTCTCCTAGTTTACCAAACAGAAGTTCATTTGAAAAAAAAAAAAAAACAGACACACACATTAATTCTAGCTATCAATCATTGAGATGTCCATTAAAAGAGCAAGAAATTTATCAAAATGAAAATATTAGTGATTTTAAAAACCATATGACAACGTAATCGATCTGATTTCACAATTCATAACAAGTTTAGTGAGAAAATTATTGCTTTCCATAATAATTATGACTAATAAAATGCATTGGCAAATAGAAATAAAAATATAAGTGAGTTACTGGTTGAAATGGCCACTGAGAGATCCCATGCTTCCTAAATATGCGCTTCATTGTAGATACGCTAACTGCACGAGCAAGAATCTAGATAAGGGAATCACATTCTTATATTACTTCCACAAAGAAAACAATACAGCTTCTACTTGGAAGAAGAATTTAAAAGGTTCAAAAACAAAACCAAAAATAAAACGGTAGTGTTACATGTACTAATTAGTATATACATTAGTGTACCAACTAGTGTTATAAAATTGTTATTGACCACATTTATTATACAAGTTACAAATACCTAAAACCATACAAATGATGTCACATCATCTGTTGGTACACTAGTGTGTACATTAATTGGTACATATAGCATTATTTGTAGGGATGGCAATGGGGGTTAATGGGGTGGATATTAATTCACCATCCCCATTCGCCCTTTTTTTTTTTTTAAGGTTCACAATTTATTTATTTATTTATTTTTTTTTAAGTAAGATTCACAACCAAGGCTAAATATACATTCAATCTCTTTTTATTTTTTATTTTTATTTTTTTTAAGATTCACAACTATTTTTTTTTTTTTTAAGATTCACAACCAAAGTTAAATATACATTCAATCTTATTTTATTTTATTTGGCTCAACAACAAAATCAAATATATATTAATTAACATTGTCACATTATTCTTGTCAAATTTTCAGCATATCTAGAATTTTTAAAATTTATTTCAAAAAATTCAATCTTAACCAAAGCTAAATATACATTCATTTTTTTTTTAAGATTCACAACCAAAGCTAAATATACATTCAATCTTATTTTATTTTATTTTATTTGGCTCAACAACAAAATCAAATACACATTAATTAACATTATCACATTATTCTTGTCAAATTTTATGTATACCTAGAATTTTTTAAGTTTATTTAGAAAAATTCTATTCCTACAAAAAAAAAATTTCATCTTTTTTTTTTAATTTTATGTATCTCCTTCTCCTCTCTATTAATTGATCTTCGATAATCTGAAGGTGAGTTATTGCTCTCGTTTTCATCTTCTTCTTCTTCTTCTTCTTTTTAAAAATTTTTATTTGCATTTATAGAGTTATTGCTCTCTATTAATGGTAGGTTATCCATTGAAGATCAATTATTAGACAAGAGAAGGAGATACATAAAATTAAAAAAAAAAGATGTATTTTTTTTTTTGTAGGAATTGAATTTTTCTAAATAAATTTAAAAAATTCTAAATATTCATCCTTAGATTGAATTTTTCAATTTTCATCTTAACTAGTGATCACCTTAATTGAAATTTTGTACATTTTTGTCTTCAATTTTCATGTTTTGATTATGATTAATTGCGCATTTTTGATCGATAGTCACAATCTTGTCACTGCTAGATTGTCATCATTGCAAATCGTCGTTGCTGTAGTGAGAGGATGAGAGAGAGTGAGAATTAAAACTCTAATTGTCAACAGAGTAGGGATGGCAATGGATAACCTACCATGTGGGTATCCATGGAGACCCAACCCAAATACTTGGGTTTCCCCTTTTTTCTTGTCCATCGGGTAGGGTAAGTAATGTTCTTTAAATCTCAACCAGGCATGGTTACCCACTAATTTCCCCATATTTCTTTTTTAGGTACATCGAAAAATAATTTCTCCATATATTTTCACTACTCTGTTGACAATTAGAGTTCTAATTCTCACTCTCTCTCATCCTCTCACTACAGCAATGGCGATTTGCGATGAAGACAATCTAGCGGTGACAAGATTGTGACTATCGATAAAAAATGCGCAATTAATCATAACCAAAACATGAAAATTGAAGACAAAAAT